GTTCCAATCCAAAACCTACAAAAGCTGCCTGAAGAAGCTTTTGTTACGTCCTTTCAAGCGCAACAGAAAGAAAATTAAGGTGCGAAAATGGGTGCAGGTACAGGTAAAAGGGTTATTTGCTTTGTTTATTTCCATTTTCCGGTAAAAACTTTCGCGTTTCCGCTTGCTAGTTCAAAGATGCAAGAAAGTCGGTGCTGCGTTCCTGGAGAAGCGCTAGGCCAGGGAACTTTTGACAAAATTTCAGCATCAAAGCTTGGTTACCGAGTTTAAATACTCTGATAGAAACACATGCATACACATACTCATAAACACCCACACACAGGCATAAACACATGAGCACACCATGGTCCTTTACAGTATGTGTTTCTGCATTTGCATGCATGCAAAAACGGATAAAAAACATTGCATAACTGTTTCTCAAAATCATAATTTTTAACTAGCGACGCGCACCAGAATAGCGAGAGTAAGGCGTTTTGCGCAGTTCCTTCCAGCAGACATTTGCTGTTAAAAACTTCCGCTGCTTTACTCTCTGATGTGTGCAAAAACAGTCAATATGTTGTTTGGTTCCTAAGCTGCGAAATTTTCCACCAAAGATTTCACGTGTCGGCATGAGAAACATAGGCTTACATGCGGACTGGAGTTTGCAGAGTTGTACATGAAATTTAGTGGGAAGGTTTACTATCTTGTGAAAGTCTTCAAATATAAAACTAGCTTCTGTTTTGTATGTGTAGTCACACATGGTCGAGTCAAATGTTCGGACTGTGATACTTTTTCCATCCTTCCCTCTCAGTGATCAGGCATCGAAGAATGTAGAAGTTTTACGTGAACGCTAGAAATGTAAAATCAGCCTTTATTTAGGCACTTCAAATTTGAGAGTGCGTCTTACCGACACCATCATGCAAAATTAATGGTAATCACTGAGATTTCACGCAGTCCTGTGATGCAACATTTCTGCCCCAGCTGAAGCTCTTTTCCCCTTGTGCGGAAAAAGAACAAAAAATTTACCAGCACGAGTGCGCATGTTAAACACTGAAGCAACAACCATTACTGTTAACGATCTAACTATTTCAAATTTAGCACGAAAATGCATTTATTGGAAGCTGACATGCTTGCTACCTGGGTTATTTTGCAAATGGCGTATGTAAGTAGATGCAAGTGTGGCAATATTTATTACTGGTGCAAAAATGACAATTGCTTCTTGATAACTTCACCATAATATTTCCTGCCGCTGCACCGTTCTCCCAGCTTTCCATTTCACAACACAGAAGTAAACGGCATCTAGCTTTCTAATATAAATATATATATTTATATATACATATATATTTTCTTTGAATATACACCACGATTAATATTTATAATTTTACTTGTCTTCAACCGAAAAGCGAGATGAAACCTAATTAGCATAGAGCGAAGAATAGTATCAGGGATTATGCCATGTCGGAATCAATATGAGTGCCTGTGTTTGGGAGTTGGTTAGAATTTTGGTTATAAGCTCATGCGCCATCCCTATCATTCGACGGAAAGCACTTGCGGTGAGGGCCATACTTCCCACAGTTGTAAATGAGACTCTGTTGCTCTATGTGCTGAAATCACCTTTCCAGTCCTCTGTAGGTGTGCTATGATATATTAAAAATGCTGATTCATTCAAAAAAGATTTATCCCTCGGTATATGCTATTTTTCTTTCCTCTCCTCTGATTTTGTCACTGCCCCGCTACCAGACCATGCCACTGCTACTGTTGAATCAGATTATATGATGTGAAGACATAATCTCCTGGCACTGGTTTCGCTGTATATAAAAGGTCTAGCTCTCGGTCTTCAATTAAGGGCGAATCTGAAAACCTTCGCCACACTTTCTGTCTGTGAATGGAGGTATCAGAAGTACGGTTTGCTATTGGAGTAAACGGAAACGAAAAAGGGTCTTATACTTCTGCCAAGAAGGATACGAAGCGAGGAACTGGTTCAACTGATTGCGTCACTCGATGCTGCTCCTCCAAGATGACAGCGTTCTTGATGTCCATTGTGCTGTTGCAAATGGCTGCCAAAGGCTCGGTAATCTTTTAAAACAGTGCTTTTTATATTGTTTTGAGTAAAGAAATCGTTAGTAGTGGCAATTCTTTGATAGAGCGGCGGCATTTTTGCCAGATCTGAACGAATTATTCTGTTCACCTTTTGTTGCAGACTGATTTTCGGTAAAAAATATTTTCCAGAACTACAGCTCATGAATTTCTGTAGGCGTGGTTCGCGGTGAGGTTCAAGCATAATGTCTTTTTAAGAAAAATTGCTCTCCTTCACTCATTTCTGCAGCTCGTCCGGAACTGAATCTTTGTTTTTTCGCTCAGGCTGCGGCTTCCATGTTATCCACACAATTTTCGTTTTCTCAGTGTCTGTTGGAGGTAATTACCGTATTTCACTCCAATTCCTTTACACATTCTACGAAAGCGTGAGTATTTCGAGAACATTTGGTACCGGAAAAACACCAGATCTCCAAGCCAGTTTATTTCAAGTTCTCGCTACAAATACATTAGCAAAGTAAAAATGAAAGTTTGAAAAAGCCAGGTGGTCTCGATTATAGAGAAGGAAGTTCATCCTAATTTTGAAATTTGCTCCAGTTCTTCTGAAAGACGCATAAACGAATAAGGAAAGAGTATCCAATATCTAAAAAAAGAAAACAAAGGCGTGGAAAGAACAAGAGAAATAATAACAACAATAATAATATTCAGTAATGGTAATATTAACAATAGTATTAGCAAGCAAACCTTCCTCCGTATGCACTCTCTGTGAAAGGCGAAAGCACTTAGAATTACTTCTGCCAATGGTTCCTTCAAAGCTTTCAGCGAGTCCTGGGTTGTTTAGAAGAAAGCTAGTGGCAGGTGTGACTTCCAGGCATATCATCACCAAAGAACGTCAAAGCGAATGGAATCGAAATCTTGATCTTCAGTACGACAGCTGAAGATCAAGATTTCGATTCCATTCGCTTTCCCATAATTTCGGTTTCGCGATTTCGATTCCCCATTGTGCCATCCTCGCAGACTATGAAAGAAATAAACTGGGAAATAAGGAGAGCATGAATAAGCACGGGATACAACTCTTTGCCAAAAGATTTGAATTGCGAAACCTTTTTACGAGCAACCCAGGCTGGAACGCACCGGGCGGGCCCGTGCGATCATATGTTTTCGCTCCGCACTTGAAGTACTCAGGTCATTAACTGCATAAATGGTTGTTACTTTGCACCTACTTTTTGCGGTCACTAGCACAAATCTTGCATAAAGTAAATGCACAACTTACATTTAGGGGTCTTTCTTTAAAACTAACATAGCTGTTCAATGAGAAATTTTTTAACCAAAACTTTTAAGTGCCCTTACGTAAGAACCACGTAAACCACAAGGTTGAATTTGAAATACTTAAGTCGTACACGGGCAGGGAATATTCCCTCAAAATTTTACTTTTCTAGCTTTTTTGGTTGCCGAGTTAGTAATTTCCCCACAGGAACTTTCATACGCCCTTACTTGAGTCCCACGCATACGCTAGGGTTGAATTTGAAATAATTGAGTTATACTTGGATAGGGAAAATTACCCCAAAATTTCAGCTTTCCAGTATTCCTGGAGTTAGCAATTTTCTTGCTAAAATTTTCATAAGCCTTTACGTGAGTGCCACGCATACATGAGGGACTGAATTTGAAATTTTTAATTATTACATTCACAAGGAATATCCCTAAAAATTTTCAGCCTCTTGGCTTGTGCGGTTCCCGAAATCACCTTCTCGCCAAAAAATTTGCATATTTTTTTAAAGCATCCGTACGCGGCACCCAGGCGTCCGCGGGAAATGAAATTAAAACGGGAGGGTGGCGCATAGCCAAAAAATTTCATGGGTCCGTACATGAGAACCACACGTATCTGGGAGCTGAATTTGATGTCTTTAACTTTTACGGGGGCTGGGAAAATACCCTTAAAATTTCATGTCCCATCTTTCCTATTTCCCGAGTTAGCTATTTTTCCGCCAAAAAATTTTACGGAGCCGTACGAGAGAACCACGAATGCCTGAAGATCGAATCTGATAAATTTTTGTTGTACATGAGCTGGGAACATTCCCTGAAAATTTTAGCCTCCCGGCTTTCCTGGCCTCTGAGTTAGCCATTTTCTCGCCAAAAAATTTCGCAGGGCCGTACGTGATAATCAAGTATGCCTGAGGGCTGAACTCGATAATTTCAGGTTGCACTTGCGCTAGGAACTATCTTGAAAATTTCAGCCTCCTGGCTTTCATTGCTCCGAGATAGCGATTTTCGCGCCAGGAATCCTCATAGAGCCACACGCGGATACCACGCACACCTGGAGGTCGAATTTGAAATCTTTGGGTTCCATATGGATGAACATAACCTGAAAATTTCGGCTTTCTAGCTTTTCTGGCTCCCGAGTTGGCGGTTTTCCCGCCAAAACTTTCGCCCTTTCGGACGCGGACCCAGACTTGCGTGAAGGTTGGTACCGCGGCCCCGGAGTGGCACTTGCTGGGAACCCACCGGCAAAATTTTTGAGCCCGGGCTTGCTCGGGTGCGGAGTTGAAATACTCGGACAGACGCACACACACGCACATACACACGCAAACACACATACACATACACACCGAGGTCGTCGCAATATGCGTTTTCGCACTTGCATATATGCATAAACGCATAAAAACGGCGACTGTTCCTTAACGATTTTACAGCTTGCGAGCCCAATCGAGTCGATGAATCAGACATGGAACGATACAACCGACTGGTCTGATAGCCATCGGCCATTTTCGGAAAAACATTGGGTGACGTCGACTACAGTAAGCAAAAGCAACGAATATGTTAGTCGCAGCCAAAACAGGGCTCGCAGTGGTAGGCGCTCACTCACATGCAGTTATTGCGATAAAACCTTTTCTATTACTTCACGGCTGAAGTTGCACTTAAGGACGCACACGGGTGAGAAGCCACACAACTGCGTACAATGCAATAAAAGGTTCGGATTAGTGGAAAATTTACGGAAGCACTGCAGAATTCATACTGGCGAGAAGCCGTTTAAATGCGGTCAATGTAATTCGAGCTTTGGGCGGAAAGAATGCTTGCAAAGGCACGTGCGAACTCATACTGGTGAAAAGCCATTCAAGTGCGGTCACTGCAATTCGAGCTATGGGCGAAAAGAATGCTTGCAAATACACGTGCGGACTCATACTGGTGAGAAGCCGTTCAAGTGTGGCAACTGCAGTTCGAGCTTCGGCCATAAAGCAAACTTGCGAGCGCACATGCGAACTCATACTGGTGAGAAGACATACCTCTGCGACCAGTGCGGTAAAAAGTCTGGAACATTGGGAACTTTGAGGAAGCATTGCCTAGTCCATACTGGTGAGAAGCCGTTCAAATGCAGTCATTGCAGTTCGAGCTTCGGGCTGAAGCAAAACTTGCAAAGACACATGCTAACCCATACTGATGAGAAGAAAGGTGCTGCATTTGTGGCAAAAAGATGAATGAACGAACCTCCTTAATTCGGCACCAAGAAAACCACTGACGGAAAAATCATAAAATTTCAAATTCTACTTTGTAAAGGCGATGAAATTCCACTTTTCGGCTGGAAAAACATAATTACTAACACTAACAAAACCACTCGGATTTCAATGTTGGCGCCTCATTTCAGTGATGTTATTTCTATACTCCCACGTGCCGGGTACAGCTATGTCGGGCCCCTTGATCCTGAACTGCAAGTCTGAATAAGCACTCACCGTCTGTTCCATTTTTATGCGCAACCCCTATGGAAGCCATCCGTCTATATGCCTGAGAACACCACTCGTTCATATGCAACATGCCTGAGAACACCACTCGTTCATATGCAACGTCCACCGCTTGTCAACAAAACCAGAAAATGTGATCAAAAAGTTTTAACGTATAAGATATATATTTAGGGCTTTGTATCATTTTTGTAACAACTGGCGTGAGTGAATATCGAAGGTACAATGCACTTAGTCAAACCCCTTATTCCTCTGTTCATTTCGGGTACATGACGAAATTGTTCCCCTCCAAACGGATCAATTTTCTTTTATCTCTATTGCGCTTTTCTCGAAAATGAATAGTTACCGGCAAGACAGTTGCAGCTTATTTTTGCATTATAAAAATAACGAACTCAAATTCAACCCATCACTAACAAAATCCTTGCAGAATCTCTGCCGAGTGCCGACAGCAAGGATCGATAAATCCACTCAATCACTAATTTAATAGTTTATAGACTTTTTCTCACTTTTTAACCTTTTGTCATTTTTTAACTTCTCTACTGATTACTATCAAAAATATATAACTCTATTTTTTGTTATTGGTATCAATATTAGCTCATCATTACTTTTATTGTCAATATTAATTTGATCATTATTACTGTTATTGTTGTTATTATCACTGTTGTTGCGATTGTAATAATTTATACTGTAAACTGTAAACTGCAATGTAATCTATAACTTAATGTAATTGTAGCGCAATTGTAAACTACACGTAATTCACTGTACACTGAATTGTAATACTTAGCCAGTAATTAAACTTAAATACTGTTTTAATTAAATAGTCATATTTTAGATCATTATATTTTAGATCTAAATGGTAATTTGTGTTTCAGTTATGACTGTCACAGAGTTATTATTAGACTTTTATAATTGAAGTAATTTTTGTTGTTTTTGTTTTCACTACTTTATTACTAGTGTTGTAATAATTATTCTTATTTGGACTTTTTTCTTTCGTTTTCAAACAGACTAAAACATCTGATCGCAACAAAAATGTCATGCCGTAGAGTCCCAGAAATCGAATTCGAATATTTGGGTGTTTTCAAAATTTTGTTGCTCTTCTATCACTGTCTGTAAGTTGGCAGTAATATCTGAAAAGACAAACTTTCCGGCTTACACATTTACCTCTGAAGCTAATTTCTCTCAGAATGATGATGGTAAATCAAAATCACTGAGACTAACTGGCTACAAAGCATTCATTAAATGTTCTCCTTTTACTCAGCCAAGTTCTGAATCCATCCTCTATATGTGAACAAGAAAGGCTGCAAATGAATAAAGCGGATCATTGATCGGTCAACGTGTGCTGCGGAAAGGACGCAGAGATTTTTGCCAGTGTAATGGAAGGATTCGCTTGAAGGAGTGAATGGAATTTGCGTAAAAGGTCCAAAAAGAAAATTTGTCATCAAATCAATTGTGAAAATGTTGAGCTCTAGCGAATGCTGAAAAAATGTGCCGGGTTTTTACAAAAGAATATCACTAAACTGGTACTCTTTCAAGAGACGAAACGAAGGTCAGAATCACCAACAGACTGACCAATAAACAAAGCAGCATTGATTAGTAGAGTTGTACAAACTGGCAGTTGCACAACTGGAAAAACACAACAAATTACAATTAATTCATGTATCTCAAATGTCACTTTATTATTCCTATTTTGTACATACACATAATAATAATTATTTTCATTCACAACAATTATTCATCTATCACACATTTGTGTGCCCATTTTATGCAGTAATTTGCAAAAAAATGCTGGCTGGAACTAAATCCGAAAACGTCAAAGTAATAAAAAACATGGAACACGTATATTGCACCCGAATGTATAAAAGCACAAACAGTGAATAGATCCAACTTAATATTAGGTTTGGATTAATAAGGGCAGATAAAGTGATAAGTAACTTACAAATAGCTTTGCGCCCTGAAAAGTCATTATGCTTTTTATGACGATTTATTGGAGAAAAAACTAGATCGATGTGCTAACGTATGAAAAAGGCAAACGCATAGCCATCTAACAAGATTTTGATTCACACTTCCAAAAAAACACAATATCCTCAAAATTAGCTCGATTCGACCTATGAAGATGGAAACGATAGGAAATTGAGGTTTTTTTCTAAGCCAAAAATTGCAGTGCAATAAAAACTAAGCTAAGTTCTTATAAATTAAACGAAAAAGAATTGCTCTTGGCTGGCTTGCTTTTTTCTAAAGCAAGTAGCACATATTTGAATTTAAGCAGTAGAACC